AAGGTGTGCGGAAGAGGGGGTAGTCTTATACGGCGAGTATATAACAAACTCTGTATTTTGAGTGGAAATGTTAGGGGGTCGTCTTATATGCCCAGTCGTCTTATACACCGGCAAATACGGTAGATGCCTAATGCCACACAGGCCCTCCCACCTGCAAGTGGCTTTGCCAGATGGCTCTCTGCCACCCCCTGCTGTTCGCTTCACATTAGCTGTAGAGAAGCAGGGGCGTCCTCTGTCCCTGAGTGGATTCAGATCCCACTGCTCAGGCCCTGATCCCCTGACCCAGGGAAGGAATTACTCTTTTCTCCATGACCCCACCTGTCTCACACCAGGCATAAGGGGCTGAGAGCACCCATGGAAACATGAACAGGCTTGTTTAGAGGAAGAGATGACGAGTCTGAGGTCTCCCATCTGAGGCATCACTGCACAGATCTCTGGGGTGGTGGGTGGTCATGCGTGGAGTTTGGAGACTTGGCACCAGGGAATAGAGAACTCCAGACTTCTTTTTACCGGTGCCCGCTGCTGATGCTGAGTCAGAAGAGGGCGGTGGTCATTACCACTCCAAAAATGGAGACAGGAGAACACTTACCCCACACACATGGATTTAGACCCACTTCCATCCTGGGAAATCAGTGTGAACAGGACACACAGCCCCTGTATCAGAGCTTGCATCATGTGGGTGGGGCAGTGGAGTGGACATGCTTGTTTTGGTGACACAGCAGAGTGTCCCCAGCACCTTCTACCTGTATCTTATCTTCCATATTCATTTCAAAGCTGGATGATTGTTATGCTCAGGTCCCTCTTGGCCAGGATTTACATTGTGGCGGGAGTTGGTCCATGGATGTGTCAGTTGGCTGGGCTTCTTTACCATGAACGTTTGCCTTGTGAAGGAAAGAAACAGACTCGATTTGTGAAGCTCTTTTTCTCTTCAAAATGGGTGTGACAGCTGGAGCTCCAGCAGCCATCCTGAGGTCTTGTCAACAAGAATGGAAGCAAAACCTCTGTAGTAGGGATGGTAGAACAAAAAGTAGGAAAGATTTAGGAACTCATGAATTGATTGCGTATCTGGAGAACGACCATCTGTCTCCAAACTTACTGTTGCATGAAAGCAAAAGAAAGGCTCCTGTCTGTTCATGCCTCTGATTGTCAAGTGTCTTTTGCATTAAAAAAAATTCCTATGAGCTTTAGTTGTACACAGTTTTCCACTTTGGGAGCTAATGAGGTTCAACACTGACTCATTTTGGAAAGCTTCACCAAGTCTTCAAAAACGACCCTGTTGATTATTGGAACAAGGGGGGACATACACCCAAATTTTAACAGTGGTTATGGTTATTTTTATTTTCTTTT